TTAAAATTAATTTTTGGTGTCTAATGAATTTGCGCTAAAAATATGTCTAAAGTTTTATCCGTTACACTTTTAGGTGTCAACCGTTTAAAAAATCGTTAAATAACATGTGTCACGTCCAGATTTAAAAAAAAATAAAATAATATTTTATTATTATAAATAAATAAACGTGACATGTGTTACTTAACATTTTTTTTATTGGTAGACACCTAAAAATATAACAAAAAAAAATTTTAAACACCTATTTTTAACGAAAATATCTTTAGACGCTAAGACATTTTTAGAAACCTTTAAACACTTTTTTTTTTGTATTAAGGATTCCTAATTTGAATGATTAAAAATGGTGGGCACCAAGGGAAACAACCTTGCTTGGAAATGAGTCAGCACCTACAGTCACCGACCATATCTTATCTCCCACGTGGCATCCCAATCCAAATTCTCTGTCATTGAATTTTGTGAATAAAACAAAACCGAAGCGATTGTTTATAGATCAACCGAGTTGCCCCACCCACTTCACCTTGTTGCTGAGTTGGCTCACCCATTTTCCATTTTCACACCACCAATATATATATATATATATATATATATATATATATATATATATATATATTTGGATAAGTATGCAATTTGAAGAAAAAGTAAGCCTGATCATGCAATTTTATAAGATTAATAATTTTAAAAATAATTTAACTTATGATATTAAATCAATCAAATGTTTTGTAGAAAATTCATGTGAAGTATAAATAAAATAGGAAATCGAAATTATCTTTTAAGTGAGAGGTGGTATTTGACCGTGAGTCATAATTGATAAAATTGCATTCATAGGAGGAAACATAGGAGATCTACTTGCTGATTTGTTGCCCCCACTTGGTTACTTGTCATTTTTTTCTTATCCTAAATTTTACTATTATTATTATTGTTACGAAAAACTTAAGATAGGATGACTATAAATAATAATATATGTTTTAAAAGCTCTTAATATTTTTTTAATGAAATGATTATTTGATTTTTTTAATACCAATGGTCAAAATGAGACAAAAACAAGAATTTCGTTAAAAAAACCTCTCTAATCCTAATTGGATGATCAAATTTATTACATTAGGCTCAAACTAAACACGACTAAAACTCAAGATACTAGCCAAACCAAAATAGTAGGATACCAAACTTCATACCAACAAAATTCTTCTATGCACACATCACCAAAAAAACGAAGGTGAACTTAAAAAACAAGGCCTTTCTGATTAATTGAGAGGATAAAACTGTAGCAAATTCCACTGACCAACATCTTCTCCACACTGAACACCACCACCCATGCCTGTATAACTCCAAGTGCACTTCACTCATTTTTGACAATTCTAGCATTCACGCAGCCTAGGCTACTCACGATCGAATGCAATTCCTCCGTCTTCCATACGAATGGTTAAACTTTCCACATTCTCTCTTGAGCTAAAGAATGAACTTCCATATTATTTTCTCTAAACACAAACCGAACAGACAAAACATTTTGCATACAATACTCAGAGCATTTATACGCCAGATCAACAAAAACAGTCGGGGTGGAATTAGGGTTTGCAATCAGCTAATCTGCTATCAGATTCAATATAACAAGAATTATACCACCTGGACAAGCGTAATAACTCACATGCTTCAAGAATAGCCGCAAGTTCAACCCCCAATGGGTCAGACAACCCGATGGACCTTGAGAAACGAAGTAAAACAGTAACATTATGATCGGGAAGCACTCTTCCAATCCCAGCAGACCCTAAGCAATTTAGCACTACCACATCAACATTGAATTTCAGTTCACCTAAGGGAGGAGTAGTCCAAGATCCGGTTGCAGGTTATCGACTAATTTTAGGTTTGAAAGACATATTTGTAGGATAACGAAGGAACTCATTGGCGGACGCAATCGACTCCGGCCATCTACAATTGCACCAAATGTCAATTCTAGTTAACGCCAAGTCAAAAATATGCGAGACCTTCACTGCTTATGCTAGACTCCAAAACGATTTAAGGGACGGTTTAATCGATATTGGGTCCCACAAAATCAACATAGATTTCAAGGATCTAGGGCACACCAATTGAATGTTCCAAGAACACCACCGAGATTGCCATACTCTCCACAACTGTACACTGGTAGAAAAGATGGGAAATCATTTCCAGATTATTATGACAGAAAACACATCGACTCGAGGCCGAATTAGAAACTTCACGCTTCATGAATTCAGCACGAACAAGGATACAATTCTACACCGCTCTCCAAATGAAAAAGTACACCTTTGGGGTAGTCAGATTTGTCCAGACCATATTTCAAAAATAATGAGATGTAGTATACAGGAAGGTTGGCTTACACTAACCTTGGCAAAGTTAATCTCCCACCAAAAGAAAGTAATTTACCTTTCCAACCATCAAGCCTGGAATGGACTTTGTCAAGGATGGGCTACCACATTACCAACGAATTACGACTCTGCCCCAATAGAAGTTTGAGGTAAGATGTCGGGAGAGTCTCAACGCCACATTTAATCCGCTCTGCTCAAGTAGTAAGGAGACTGCTATTAGTATTTATACCTAGCAACTTCATTTTTTCCATATTAAGTTTTAAACCAGGAGCTATCTCAAAAATTTCAACATTCTTTTGTGTTCATTACAGCTAGTTCTGAAGTTTCCAAGAACATCACCAAATTATACGTGAACTAAAGGTGCGCGCCATTTCCAGTCCCTCGGGTCTAACTGTCACACCCATAAGAATACCAATTCTAGTAGCTTTGGAGATAAGGACACTAAGCGTTTCACCCACAATATTAAACAAGAAAGGGGATAGAGGACAGCCTTGGTGCAAACCCCTTTTAATACTAAACAATACTGATGAAGATCCATTAACCAAGACAGAGATGGAAGCTGTAGAAACACATAAACTAACCCAATTACGCCACTTAGTTTCAAATCCTATATTTTGAAGGCAAAAGGTTTAGAAACGACAAATCAACAATGTTGTACGCCTTTAACATAATTGCTTCGACATTATTCATTCTAAAAGAATCAATGGCCTTGTTTACAATAAGGGCACAGTCCGTTATCTGCTTGCTTGATTATATATATATATATGGACTGTTTGTTTGCCTCTTAATGGAATCATTCAGCGCTGAATGCTGAACCGTTCAGCACTGAATTCTGAACCGTTCAACATTCAACGCATTTGTTTCGCACCTCTGAATGATTCAGTGTTGACTGATTCAGCAAAAAAGTGCTGAATGATTCAGCACATAAGTACATTCTGAATGATTCAGAGCCATTATCAGTATGTCACATTCAGAGCTAATTCATACAGAGCCTCTGAATCATTCAACATTTGAATCATTTAACGCTTAATCATTCTGAAGTATACAAACAATCCATAATATTGATTGGGTTTAACTTGATTGACACTGACATATATATATATATATAATATTTAAAAAATCATGTATTTAAATACATTTAATTACTATTGTCTTTAGTTTAGAGGTTAAAAGTTATGAGTTATTAAAAAAAATATTCGCATAATTCCTCCTATTCTCAAACTCTATAAAAAATCAAATAATGTAATATCGACAAAAAGTTTTTTCCCAATAAAAATATAAATAAAAAACAAAAATTATAAACAATGATTAATGTAACTGGAGAAAAAGTTTGAGGGAACCACACATTTAATATTTAAATTATTATTATTGTTTTATTTTAATATTTTAATTTTATTTTTTAAATTATACTTAATATTTATTTTAGGTTTTAATTTAATATCTGTTAAAAAATTTAACAACATCAATGACGTGGAATTTACAAGACACATGGAGTTGAGTTGTTAAAGTTAATTGTGATTCATTTTTGTTTTAAATTAACAGGATTAATCATAGCTATATGACTATATCCGTGAAAGCTCATGCCATGTCGTGGAATGGGTGAATATGTGCGTTCTTTTCATTCGACCTCCATTAGAGAGTCGTAAAGGTCCAGAATGAATCGAGAGGCACACTGGTGGCGGATGCGTGTACATTAGTCGATGGGTATATGTCACTCTGAAATTTAAATTTCTTGATATTAATTGTTTTTTTATTAAAAGTATTCGTTTTAAAATTGTATTGTGTCCACCTTTGGAATTTAAATTTCTTTATATTAGTTGTTTATTTTACTGAATGTGTTCACACTAAAATTTTATTTTTGTTTGCCCCGTACGAAATTTTTATTATTATTAATACATATGTGTCCATCCTGAAAATATTTCTAAATTCACCACTAGAGGAACAATTAAAGTAATCGTATTTTGATTTTTTTTAAATTATCATAAATTTTAGATATTGTTTTACATTTTTATTGATAATATAATTTTATTTTTAAAATTTTATAAATCTTTTACCTTAAAATTTAAAAAAAATTTATTTCTTAACATAACATTTTATTCAATACGTTATATCATGTTGCGGATTGGGTGGCAAAGGACGGCGGTCGTCAAACTTGAAGAGGGAGCTGAATGCCTTTAAGCTTTAGATTTTATTGCAACTTTTCTTCCTTCAGTTGGTGGAAAATATCCCTTTGATATATATACAGTTGAGATATATGGGCACATGGATTTGCTAACTACCGCAATTGTGGAGATTGATTCCCTAAAGTATCATATTAATAAAAGAATTTGACATAAATAATATATTTATTAAATTTTAAAATACGAAGTAGTTTTTTGAAAGAAAGAAAATTTTGAACCGTCAAATCTACGACACACGGTTTTCGTAAATAATACCTTCTAAAACGGAAACAATACAAATATAAAATTATAAACGAATACATAAATAAATAAAAAGTTGATTATGTTATGCGGCTGAAAATTTGGCAGACGGTAAGGTGTACGCATGGCGGGACATGGGAGTTGCGCACCATATTTGTTGTTATCCGCGGGCCAGCGTTTTATATAAGCACCCAAGCAATGCGTAAAGCTCTCATAAAGCTATCTCATAAGTTAAGCCAAAAGGAAACAACCTTCTTCTTCAATTCAAACCTATATATTTGGGGTTTAGTTTTCAGAGATTTCTGGGCGTAAATCTTTTATCCGGTTCCATAAAAGCTTTGTTTTTTAGTTTTGGGGTATTATTTCTTTTAGTTTTCATCCCTAGATCTGAAAGAGAAACAAAATCGTTTTTCTGTTGAAGATTCGTGGGTGTTTTCTCGTTCGAGTTTTCAGGGGAAATGGAGGTTTCGCTAATGAGTTCTTCACAGGCAAAAATTTGTAAGACAGAATTAGGGTGCAGGGACTTAAGGTCTTGTTTCGGGAAAACTAATGATCAAAATATAATATTTTCCCGGAAACCAAACAGCGTTTCTTTTTACAGTCAAATTTCGAGGTTGAGAAAAAGCGGGCTCAGATTTTCAGTGAAGGCTGTTGACTCTGAACCCATTCTTGATGCCAGGTCTCCTACTAGCTCCAAATCTGTAAGTTTCAGTTCCTTTTCTACCCTTTTTTGTTCTTTTTATTGTTGAAAAGGGGAGAGGTAGTTTGATTTGCTTGTTTTAAATTGATCGATCTGGGAATATTTAAGCCGAGTTTGGAAGATTTGTAGCTCTGTTTGGGTATATTTTAGATGATAAAAACCTTTTTTTTAAGTAAATTGTTTGTTTTAGTGATGTTTGTTCTTGAAGTGTGAAGAAATTTTACAATTTCCATATCAATACTTGTAGAGGAACTAAATGGAGACAGCTATCTGTTTTGGCATAAAAATAGTTAGATCTTAGTTTAATAACCTTATTATAGTGATGGAACTAATGTATTTTGATTTATATTTATACGATTTGCATTTGACTCTTGAATGTATGGAAATGGAGGTTCTGCCTGAAAAAAATGTTTGAACAGTTGAATTGATAAACAACAGTATGTGTTTATGCTGATTGTAGCAAATTTTGGTTTTCATTTCTCAACTTGATTGGCCAAGACTAATTTTGGTTTTCATTTTCCAGCTTGATAGGTTAAGACTATTTGTCGGTCTGCCTCTAGATACGGTTTCCAATGGCAGTACGATAAACCATGCACGGGCGATAGCTGCAGGACTGAAAGCTTTGAAGCTTTTGGGTGTGGAAGGTGTTGAATTGCCTGTCTGGTGGGGAGTTGTTGAGAATGAGGAGATGGGAAAGTACCAGTGGTCTGGCTATCTTGCCGTCGCGGAGATGGTTCAGAAAGCGGGTCTGAAACTTCACGTATCACTCTGCTTCCACGCCTCCAGTGGACCTAAAATTCCACTTCCAAAGTGGGTGATGAAGATTGGGGAATCCCGATCAAGTATCTTCTTCACAGATCGGTCCGGACAGCATTATCGAGAATGTTTATCACTGGCTGTTGATGATCTTCCTGTTCTTGACGGAAAGACTCCAATTCAAGTTTACCAGGACTTTTGTAAGAGCTTTAAGTCCGCATTCTCACCTTTCATTGGTTCTACAATCACGGTAAGAGGTTTTGTCTGTTGATTAACTCGGTTAAGTTAGCCATAGACCACACTACTCCGGTGTGCTGAATTCCTTCTGTATTGTGGTTTTGAAGGGAATCTCAATGGGTCTGGGGCCAGATGGTGAGCTCCGGTATCCATCTCACCACAAGCTTGCCCAGAGTGGCACAGTTACTGGAGTTGGGGAGTTCCAATGTTATGGCACAAACATGCTGAATCTTCTTAAACAACATGCTGAAGCAAATGGAAATCCATTATGGGGATTAGGTGGTCCACATGATGCCCCTAGTTATGATCAGCCCCCAAACTCGAATAACTTCTTCAACGATCATGGTGGGTCTTGGGAAAGTCCTTATGGCGACTTCTTCCTTTCCTGGTATTCGAACGAGCTCGTGTCTCATGGAAATCGCCTCCTCTCCCTTGCCTCTTCAATTTTCGGTGATTCCGAAGTCGATGTTTATGGGAAACTACCACTGATGCACTCTTGGTACAAAACCCGGGCCCACCCTTCTGAACTGACAGCTGGATTCTATAACACTGCCTCAAAAGATGGTTATGAAGCAGTTGCAGAGATGTTTGCAAGGAATTCATGCAAACTCATCTTGCCTGGAATGGACTTGTCAGACGAGCACCAGCCTCACTATTCTCTCTCGAGCCCTGAATCATTACTGTCACAAATCCAAACAACATGCAGCAAGCTCGGGGTTGAGGTTGCCGGGCAGAACCTGGCTTCCGGATCCCCTGGGGGTTTAGAGCAGATCAAGAAAAATATGTTGGGTGACAATCCAATCGACCTATTCACTTATCAGCGAATGGGAGCTCATTTCTTCTCTCCAGAGCATTTCCCTTTGTTTACCGAGTTCATCAGAAGCCTTAACCAACCTGAATTGCACCCAGATGATATGCCATCTGAAGAGGTAGAAGCCACCGAATCTATACAAACAAGTTCAGATCCGAACATCCACGTGCAGACAGCTTAGCAAGAGGTAAGAAGAGAACATATATGTGTATATTGTATTCTTGTAAGTTCAAAATTATTGAACGGGGAGAAGAGTTGTACTATTTGACTGAGTTCTGTATACGTCAAAGCAAATATTTTATTTATTTAAAGAAGACCTTGGGACCATTTTGGTGTTCGTCTGTTAGAATTTTAATGTGGGATTTTAATCAAGTCTCCGTTTAGGGATTTAGTCATGTTTTTCTGAACTCATAGTTACATGGACAAAAGAAGCAAAGGAAGAATCATAAAAATAGTTATTTTATATATAACTGATCCTATAAATCCCAAGTTTCTTTTTAATGATCCAATAAGATCCAAAATCCAAGCTAATGTGTAAAAATCTTGAGATGATTAACTACCCAGCACTTGTTAATAATTTTCATGGATTTCAATAACTGTGCTTGGATACACAAGCAATAATGTGCATATGATGGATGATTTACATGCATTATTAATGGTAGGTTAGCTCGACACGTCAGAGCTCAACATCATCAGTTAGATGAGCAATCAATTAGTCAAGGTTACTAATTGGTGCCATTGAAGATATTTAAGATGTCACTTTCTTTTTTTCAGCAATTAAATTGTAATAAAAGCAGTGGGTAGAGAAGATGAAAAGTTTGTGCTGGCAAATGGACAGGGCTTTACTTATTTTTTCAAAAATAAAATAAATACAAACCTGTTTTATTCACAAGCGATCTTAGTGTCAAAGCTGCTGAGGCAGATAGCAAAGGCTTGGAAAGCTGAGATCGGATACTGGTAATCCATGGTAAACAAATCCTTCCCCACTTTCCCAAACTGGAGGATGATCTTATTATGTTCCGGCCCTGCCGGTCCATCTTCTGGAGACGCCACCAATTGGAAGTTTTTCACTGAAGCGACTGTAACTCGTCCATGGAAGTTCAAGCACCAACACTGGAGTTGCTCGTGCCACCTCGGAGCCTTATTTGTCATGACCAGTCCACCATTCTTTTGATACGATAAAGGGCCCGATAGAAAATTCTCCAAGCTGGCTGACTTTGAATGAAAGATCGGGTTCGATGGAGATGGATTCACATTGTTGAGAGAAAACTCAGCCTGGGTGGGGGCTAATCCTCCTGGTCCTATTGAAGTTGCAGGGATGGTGTTCATACTACACTGCATTCTTCTTGGACCCCTATAGGTCATTAAAAATGTGTGTCCATCAGATATCTATGCTGCTTCGAATATGGGATATATCTGACACTAACACTCAAGTTCGAGTAACATAGATTTATTTGAGGAAGTGAACAGGTGATTTAATGCATGAGCTTATCAATAATGATGGATCAATTATTGCCTTGAATAAGAAAAAATTATCAAATCATTATCCAAAACAATGGCAAACTCTTACCTTGAACCTAAGGTATTCAATTCATATGAAATGTGAGCCATGGGGTAATTGCCAGAAGGGACTCTAGGTGAAACTTGCTTCAAATTTGCTAGCCTAGAGGATTTACTTTTACCCATCTTTGCACCAGCGTGAGGAGGTTGTCCATCAAAGACGGAGAATTTGGTCCCTAAAAAGTTTGATCTACCCAAAAGGAGAAAAAAAAAAAGACATAAGATTTGAATCTCGCTGGTTATATATATATATTTCACTTCTTACCTCAATCTCCCAACATAAGCATTACTCCCCTTCGAGATATCCTCAGCCTGTAAAGATATGATATAATCTGTGCAAGTTGGACGCCTACACTTGCGAGCAGCTAGAAGGAACTTTCCGACATCCAATAATGCTGCCATGGAGAAACGAAACAAATATTTCCAAAGTGTTGCAACAAAAGAAAGAAATACATTAAGTAGCATTATCGTTAATCTAATTTAGTACTCGAATGGAATGACTCATCCAATTCTAATTTAGTGGTTGAATGGAATGACATCCAATTCATGTAGAAGAAGAAGAAAAGCTTACAATTAGTTAAACCAAGGTAAAGGTAGTATGTTTGGGTTGATCGATTTCGCTTTATGAAGCACTGAAGGATAGAATCCTTTGGACCGGGCTGCAAATTGGATTCAAAATTCAGAATTTACAAGATTTTTAACAAGAAAACATTGGATTAAAATGCTTCCAATCGATAATAGTTCTAGCGACCGATACATCAAGACACACTCTAATGTCATGTTGCTCCAACTAGTGCGGGAAAATGATCTTGCAAAGATCCTTTTAAATGACATGAAACAACTTCCGAAATACGGAGCATATCCATGTCCGGTACATACTTGTATCTAACATTCACACGAGCCCGAATACCATAACTTCATTGCTTTAACTCAAAGCAAAAAGTAAAATGGTAGTTGAGAGAAAGGGACTTTAATGTGTACATGGGGATTGTGGTTGTAGCTAACTAATGATTATTGTTAAGCAAAACTGATTGCAAGCTAAAAGTGGTCCCAAATCTTGAACCAGTCTTCAATGGAAATTTATCTATTAAGCTATTGCATAAGGCAAATAATGACTAGGGAGGAAGTCATGACGGCCCAAAACATTCACTGTAATGTAAACTTGACTTGTCTAATTGTCCAATACATGGCAGACAAAAATGGTTCAAAACACATGCCAGGTCCAGGCATTATTATATAAAAAACCTCATATTTTTTTTTGAATATTACCTCCCTTAATATATTTGTTAGAAAAACAACCCTGCCTTTACGTACCTAGCAACCTCGTATTTTATAAGACGTGAGATCCATCAATTTTTTCAGATAAAATCATTTAATATTAGATTAAAGACAATAATAATATATGACTCGACCTCGCATTTTATAAGACGAGATATTCATCAACTTTTTCAGATAGATTAAAGACAATAATAATATATGACTCGTTTTACATAACGAGTTTAACCATCGCTTTTTCAGAATACGAGGTCATCCTACATGGCAGTTTCTGTGGAAAATAATTATTTGGGTGTTTGTTTGGGGGGGGGGGGGTAAGATAATAACGCCCAGGTCCACAACTATCTTTGAAGAAGCAAATTTCACTCAAAATTTAACAATTTGCATCTCTAAAATGAAATGCATAAGATTCTTGGAAAAGTTTTCCTAATTCGTGGACCTTTAATCTGAAAATCAAACAAAAAATCAGATCAGCATGCATAGAATTTACTAAACAAATCATAATACAAGATTCCCAGGAACATAAAATCTTCAGAAAACATTGGGAAAAACATTAGCCACCAAATCAAAATTATCAAATGACCCTGTTTCCCAGGATAAGATTGTAATTCAACTTCAAAATCTTTTTGTTCACTAGTAAGCAAGAGAATGAAACTGAGGCAAGAAAAAAGAAACCTGTTTAACTGAGATGGGAAAAGTTAATTTCCCAGAAAGTTGAGGAACTTTAACAATCTGTTTAATAATAATCCTCCAACTCCGGCAAACACCAGCACAGGCGACCACATTTTTCCTCTGAGGCCAACTACTTTCCGAGTCTTCGATCCTTAAAAGAACTTCCCACAATAATTCCCGAGGCAGGTTGGCCCAGCAGCAACCACCGCCAACCGCCGCTTCATTGGAGGAACGCAGGAGGTGGTCCTGAATCACACGGCGGGACCTCAGCCTGGCAATGCACTTCATTGTCACCGATAACGTTAAAAAGTGTAAGAAAAACTGAAGATTTTTTTGTGTGGAAAGTGCTTCGTTGCTATTTTTTGCATGAAAAAAGTAGAGAAAATGAATGAAAGCAGATGAGAAGATTGTTGGGTTGTGGTTGTTTTTCTGTATAGAAATCAGTTTGGGGTTTGGAATGAAAATTGGAATTTCCAACTTTTCAAAGTATTTTGAGAAAAACAGAGATTTCTTTGGTGTAAACTTTAGACGGTTTTAAGGGGAAAAGGTTTTCCTTTTTTTTAAAAGAAAATGAAACTAAAACATAAATCTAAGCTGGGTTTCCGGCAGCCGAAGGAGCTGGGGCGATATCTCGAGCAAGGAGAGTCCCGATCACAGGAGGAGAAGATGAGCAAAGGCTGATAATTGCTGGGACGAGCGTAATCCTTTTTCCTTTTTCTAAAGGCCTTTTGGCTAATAAAATCTAGGGTACATTACACCTAATTTCATTTAATTATAGATTTGATAATACATATGTTCATTTTGTCAATTATAAGTAGATTATTTAATTAAAATATTATTATAAATTCAATAAGTATATCTTATTAATTTAATTTTAATATATAATAAATTCAACTTTTCATATTTTAATTTTTTCTTTTCTTTTCTTAAAAATGTTATATTACTTTCATGTTACTTTTCTAGTATAATAACAATTTAATTATAATTTAAATTTATCCTTGTTTTAAGATAGAATGTTGTTTATCCAACTTCTATTTTGATATGACGAGTTCATTTAATTTGATAATAATAAATTAATAAAATTTTAAATACGAAGGATTATGGAAATGCTTTGATTTAGGATAAAATTGCTAGAATGTATAAGTTACGAGGACTAAAATGTTATTATATTAGGCTGCATTAGATGTTGATTTCAATTTTATTGGCGGTGTGAATTATTTATAATAATATTTTAATTGAGTGACTTCTTTGTAATATTTTTAAAAGAAGTGATCTATTTGTAATTAAACCCATAATTAAGTGACCTTAAGGTGTAGTTTACCCCGAAATTTAAAGTTTATTCAATCTTTGAACTTTACAATATCATTAGTTAATACAAATAATTAACATCGGTTACTAATTCAATTAAAATAGCATAGTGAATCGTGTGTCAAAAATGATGTTTTTAATCAAGAGATCATGTCAGCCTTTTAACTAGAAAAATTGGTTGATCAGCCCTTTAGACTAAATTATAAAAGTAGAGGAATTGAATCATATCAAATTAAAGCATACATGTTAATCTTATATTGGAGTATAGTAGAGGGACAAAGACAACAATTTGAACAACTTCATCGGTTTTTCATATTCATTACCACATTTTACTATAATTTGTTTTAAAATTGCTTTTCGTGTTAAAAATAATATTTTGTTTGTAAGGAGGTTCATTTAGTTAAATAATTATAATCTACTTTGTTGTGTTTGTATAGTACACATCGAAAGTGGAGAAAATAAGTTAATGGAATTGGACCCTACTCTCTATAATATCTCCACTTTTCTTGAATAAGAACTCCACCCTTTAGTCTATGGGCGGATGCTGCAAAGATTTCCTAACATTTTCTCATCTTATAATCATTTTTAATACAAAAAACATTCCATCCTTGACTTTATATATGGATTAGCTATTCAACCTGGAATATTATTTAACAGATTGTATTTTTATATATTTTAAGTAATACTATGTTTACATGGATAGGTTTGCTTCACCTTAACCAAGGTATCCTAGAGAGAGGTGTCAACAGGTTTAACTTGGTACAATTCATTACTTCTTTTTTTTTCTTTTTCTTTTTACTGTTAATCTTAGTCATTCTTTTCCCGGATTCAATGGTAAAAAATATATAAAATCTAAAAGTTTTACAATGTATCAACGGATTCATCAGTATAATCTTATTGAAGTACTGTGTATGGATACCACCTAATTCATAGGCTTGATACAAATAATTGTTTATCATTATATTCCACCTACATAAAGTCTGTTCATAACTACAAAAACAATAATGGGTTTCTACATTACACGCAGAAAAAAGGACCAAAAAAAAGAACCAAACTTTTTTTAATGTTGGAATTTAGAACATCATGATAAACAGATAATAAGATCCACCACAACCATAACCATAAAAAATCACAAATTATTCACTTGTTTTCATGTGAAGAAGTTCTCTCCTAATGATGGCTCAAATATCCGATCGCCAGGCTCATGATGGCCACCACACATACGTAGAAGAAGGGAAAACCGACCTGAATTGTTCGTCCGGTAATGGAATTCGTCTTCAATACCACCTACAAAAAGGAAAGCGATAATACTTCTGTGGACTGATGAAAGGTTGTTGTTGGAATGGCATCAGTTCCCCTTTTACTGGAAACAAGAATAATTGATCCTACACTCGTGTTCAGTATATATTTGAACATGAATATGCGAATATGGCACTTGAATTATCTTAAAGAAAATGAAATTCATAGAAAGTATAACAAAGTTTAAAGCCTCCCATGTTGCATACTTAACCAAATCCGATGAATATACTAGAGTCCGAGTTAGTCAATTACGAATGTTATTTTAACGAGCTTGATTCTATGGCTATTTAGCTGTTTTTATTTTTTATAGCAAGTTTCTAGTCTGTTCAGTGTGTCAAATGAAAATGTGACTCACTAATTCACCCAGAAGCTTGTCCTTCTCTTCAGCAGCCATACTCCTCTCTTGTGTCAGCTTCATGATGGTAACTTCAGCCTGGAGACAAAAAATATGTATATTATTATATATAGAATGATTCATGAAATAAGAGCATGCTTACACTCTTTCGAATGTATATATGAGTACAATGTTATAATCTTTCAAAAACCCTCTAAATACATGGAAAAACTTAAAACACATTAAATATGGACATGTCAGAAACATGTACCTATATCTGACATTGTGCATACTAGACTCAATAAGCTTAAATCAAAAGGAAATAGCACTAACCTCTTTAAGTTTTGAATCCATAAAACTTATCTTTGACTTCAAGTCCTCAAAATTTTCATCCAACTTCATTTCCTTAGAGCATTTCAATCCCTGCACATCCTTGGGGAGACTTGACTGCACACTGCTAGCTGCAGTTTGCTCTTTAGAGTCATCTACCGAAGTTTTAAGTAGTTCAACATCCATAGTTGCTCTTAACTCTATTGCATCCCTAGCAGTCTCAAATCCCATCAAACCCTCAGCAACCTAGCACAAGAGCAGATAAATTATTACACTACGATTCTTAATCAAACCTTATGTGACTCGGATTTACGTGTGAATGTTGGACAAGTGTATGCATCTAACATGGGTATGTTAAATCTTTTCCAAGATTTTCATGTATTTGGAGGAACCTTGGAGAATGGTATCCCTGTAAGTCTATTACTATGTCTAGATATACATCGGACCCAAGTATTTTAAGAAAGATGAAGAGTTGAAGCAACAACTGCAGCCATTTATAACATGAGAAATGCAAACTTACCTTCTGAGGTGGAGGTATGTTTTCAACTCCACGCCAAGCTTTATCCCTTCGTGGTGAAGTTTCATGACCCATATCTTGTTTGAGGTCTCCATTGATTGCTGTCAAAACTGCTGACTGTGGTGGGCTTGTAAGGAATACTTTTAGCTTCTTCTCTTGAATGTGCCTGCCACTTTCTTTAGAAAACTGCAAATAGGAAACAATGAATAACTTGTAGGAACAACAAAAGAACAGCCGTTGCATTGGCAATTCCTTACGATGTTGGCTATAATGTCTTCCTCAGATGTCCCAAGAGGAATTACTGTACTTTGAATCAGAAACTTGTCTTTGCACATCAAGTCAGGTGGAGCAACACTCTGAGCTTGCATAGTAACTGCACCAAGACACAAAAAGAAAGGCCAAAAAGCACTGAATTTGATATTGACTTGAATAGATTTAAATTATGTTGTTTCAATTTTCGTTGTTGATCCATACTCGGATCTGGCATTCACACTCGAGCCTGAGTAACTTGGGTTGTAAGCTTTGTTACCATGATCTAGAGGTGAGTGTCGGCTACATAAATTTATTTTTCTAAATGTTTAGAGAATTATACTTCATATCCATGTACAAATTTGTGTTGGACGCTGATACTCCAAGAAAAAAAAAATTCGAATAAGGAGTGCACATTTGGTAATCATCCAGTTACATACATCCATAACATTCTCTTAAATTCCACACACTTAACCTTAAACACATCTTAGGCATTACTTTAAGAAGAAAGAAACCTCAATAAACTCAATTCCAAACTCATTTAGTCTCCAAAACTGACATTCAATCTAAAACCAAGCAACCATTTGATTAAAATTAGCATCTCAACCGTATAAAATAAAGCACAATATAAAAGCATTAAACGGGTGAGTCAAATTATAATTACCTGTAAAATCATATGTTGATTTAGGTTTAACAATGCCAGTGTTGGGTCTCACACAGTACTTCTTAGGAGAAGTAGTCTTCACCTGAAAAATCATTTTATTAAGACAAAATTCATTACAGTTGAATCTGAATCTTAGAATTCACCTAAAATACGATCAAAAGGCCAGAAAATAAGAGATACCCAGAGATTAAGTTGAGAAGAAAGATACCTTGAAGGCTACATATTGATCAGTGTTGTTGGTTAATTGGATCAAGCATGAACTCTGTTTCTTCAACTCAACTTCATAAAGAGACAAGCAAATAATAAATTAAACATCGTTGTAAATAAAAATTAGTCAACCCTTTTAGATGTAATTAAAGAAGCAACATACAAGTAAAATTGAGTTGTTGAGGGTGAATTTCCAAGAGCTCTGAAGTCATTGATCACTGCAAAGAATCACAAGAGAAGACAAAGAAAATGTTATAAAAAAATGCCTTGTGTTTCAGAAGCAAGGAAAATGTAGAAATCTATAGTTTACATTGTAATTGAGAAATGAAAAACAGGAAACATTTGAAGTTTAATGGCGGTTGATGGATTCAAGAACTGCTCTGCTTTCAATTACGAGTTTGATTTGTGAATGTTTTAGTTTGTTTTGCTTTTGGAGTAATTGCGCGTTGGTTGCGGCTGGTGAGTGTGGTGGGCCAACGTTTCTATTCAGCACCTCTTGGAGGTGTAGGCCCATGAAGGATAAGTACAATTATGTGTTCCCGATTATGCTTACCATTAGTGATGAATAAAACTCGAATTGATTTTAAAAATTAAATTTTTATTTGATTAGATTATTAATTTTATAAATTCGATTTAATTTCAAAAAAAAATTTGAATTCGGATTGAGTTATAAAATAGAACTCGAACAATTTAAATTTTTTTATAATTAGTGAATTGGTAGTTAGGTTCAAGTTGAGTTCCTTAACTCTGAATAATATATGTATATTGCATATAAAAAGATAAATATATATATGAATATTGTTTATGATTATATAAAATTGTTTAAATTAAAATCAAATAGTATTATAAAATTATAAATATTAATAAATAAACTTAAATTGAAACTTGAACAACTCGACTCGATTCGAGTTTCATAAAACTGGCTTGAAAAATTTTAAGTAAAATTTGAGTATGACTTGTCAAATCAACTAATTTGAAATATTTTGGTTCGACTCAATTGAATACTCACCCCTATTTACTATACTCGTAAGATCTCCTTCAATAGAAATCAATTGCCAACTAAGAATGAATTGGGAACGGACTAGTGAGATGGTTATTCTCCTGAAAATTTTAAATTCTCATTTAGTTTAAATATTTTTTAATATTTTTATTGAATTTGTATTTTCATCCTTAATATAAAATTATAAATTCATCCGACTATAATAATCCCTTTAGAGAAGGCCCATGCTTCCATTATTTGAGAGTCATGACAGGCATTGGACCTTGGTGCTTGCCCTGCAACAACTATTCCCGTCATAACAAAACAAGCATCAACAACATCAGTGACAGATAAAACCTCCTTTGCATGAATGGGGACAGTTCCTTTGTGCATGACTCGTCTCCAACTATCGATAGAAACGAACGTAAAATTTTATATTAAAGAGGCGAATTTAAATATAAAGGGGACGAACTAAAATTCTAGAGGGCGAAACAAATTTTCAATAAAAAATATATATAAAAATTTAAAATATATGATAATTTCAGGGTCAGTCTATCAATGGCACAATTTGCATTGTTCGCATTAACTAAATTATTCAAGGTATAATTCAATTAACAAAATAATATTTTAGAAATTTGATAAGAAGGAGCTGGGTAATGGTATATTCAATTGTTAATTGACTGCCATTTTTAGCTAATAAAATTGATAGTAATATTGAGAAAGTAATTAAGGTGTTACAACTGTACGAATCAAGCTAATTCAGTGATTAGATGAAGGATTATTATTTCTAGAGATCCCATGTTCAAACACTATAAATTACAGGATATTTGGACGTTTATTGCCAAATGGTTTAAAAAAAATTTAGGACAAATAATATCACTTATAAACACTATAAATTAATACAAAAATTACGTTGTTATAACTTAATTGTTGGCATGGCCAAAGAGATTGGTATTGGGAAAGTAAACTAAACATATGAATCTAGAGAATGATGGAAGATGAACATTTTAGTTTGGGTTTCGCGGTGAATGGCGATCCACGATGATGAAACAACGAAACTAAAGAAGATGATCGGTGGGGAAGACAGTGGAGGGGATAGTAACTACAAAAATGGTAAGAAGAGAGGCATGACATTGAAGTATCAGAGTTATATTTTAAAAACTAAGATAAAATTAAAATAAAGTATAAAGATTAGAGATTAAATTTATCATTAAATCAATTTTGTTATTTGTCATATAATTTACTGTTAAATTTTTAATATCGAACAAATATATTATTTTTTAAATCGAATAATCATTTTATAAGTTTTTGAAAGATTCAACAAAAAATATTTTTACAAATTTTACCAATAAATGAATAGTCAACAAAAACATAAAAGATTGCAATTGAAGGACAAATTATATAATTGCCCTTCATGTTATTTGTTGGTACTTCATTTCTAATTTTCTGGCTTAAAGCCGAATAAAATAAATGCTATGAAAAAGTTTACTAACCAGAAAAGAAACTTAGGAAAATTTGATTAATGCATCGCAGAGGTTACAAAAAAATGATGATGGCCCAAATACACCTAATAAAGTCTTGCGCTTGAAAAGCACGATATTTTACTTTATAAACTATGTTAATTTTAAGTAAAGATATAAATTCAATATATTTTAATAAAAACGGAGATAAAAAGATTAAATATTATTAATTTAAAATAAAACTTTAGGATCAAACTCGAAAGTGTCCCTAATTTAGGTCAAGTCCAATTACTTCTATATTATTTAAATCTTCTACCCAAAACCATTTCAATAAGGTTATGATCAACTTGAATTACATGTTTATTACTTAAAACATAATAAAATATTAAAAATTTTAGAACTAGATTAAAAAAAAACTATTTGGTTTATTATTAAGCTTTTCATCTCGGACAGACTCATTTCGACTGGAATTTGTATATTAATTTTTTAATATAAATTGTTAGTATTATTATTATTATTATTTTGAAAGATGACGGTCCTCGTTAAAAGTCCCTTCTAATGCCTAATAGGGGGAAAAGAATTCCCAGAAATTTTTTTCTTAATTCCGAAACTCAAGCAGTACAATGCAGTCATAGTTTGATACACAAAACCAAAGAACAACCACGTACAGAACCAAATAGATCCATATTGACAGCAAAACAACGAAGCATGAGCCTATTACGACAGTATTCCCCAGCAATGGGAGCATGGCAACACGACACTTGAAAACAGAGTTAAGAGTCTAATTTTGAATGCACATAGCAGAAGGATTTCTAATAAATTCTTGAATTGACGTAATCGATGAAGGCCAAATGCTCTTTGGCCAAAAACCAATTCTCATGAGAGCAAGGTTGAAAACCTGTTCTGTCGAGAACTTTTTCCTGTTGAAGATTGTTTCATTTCTGCATAACTGGAGTGTCCAAAGAAAGCCAAAATAGCTATGAATCATACCGGTCTCGAAGCAAGGGATTTTCTCCCAAGAAAAAAAATAAAAGAGTGAGTGTCCCAAGGTACCACAAAATGTAGTCTCCCCCATTTACATCAAACATTCCAAGAGGAAGTACAATGTAGAAAAATGTGATTTAAAGATTCGTTTACCTCAGTGCAGAACACGCAAGGGGAAATAGCAGGGCCACCAATTCCACGTTTTATTAGTTCATCCGAAGCGGGAAGGCGGCCATGAACAAGTTTCCACTCAAAAATCTGCATGTTTGGAGGGGCAAGGTTGGCCCAAACGAATTTCCAGATTGGATCTTCGTCAAACCCTTGTCGAGACCAACTTACAATACTGTTTTGGATAGTACAAACCATCAGGCGCGGCTAACCAAACAATTTTGTCCGTTGTGTAATGTGTTGCCGATGCTCTGTTTAGTATGTCTAAGAAACTTTTCCAAAGGGCAATTTCCCATTGAAATAGTGATATACGCAGAGTGATGTTCCATTCCCAACTCTTGTTTCGGAACTCAAACACACTTTCCGATTTTTTTAGGGCCATCGAATAGATGCGAGGAAAAGACTCTTTGAGTGATTTCACTTTGGTCCAAAGGTCATTCCAAAAATTTATGGATTGTCCGTCGCCAAGAGCGAGATAAATATTATTAACAAACAAATCGTACAACTATCATCATAAACTAAATACATAAGTTGGGTTTTTTTTTGTAATACTGAAAATAGTCACTTTAAATCATACAAAATTAAAAAACCCAACCAAAAGACTCAAACAAAAAATATATGCGAACAAATCTGATTACAACGACAAACAAACTACAAAAATGAGTAAAGCTATTGAAAGATCATCGATAACCTTAAATTAGAACCGAGTCTCATAAAAAATTATCCATGAACGCAAAATCGAGCATCCAAATTCAATCCGAATGTCCATAACAGGGAAGATCAACATTATTTCAAATAAGCACCATCTTGATCAGTCGTGACGTCTTTAAATCTAATCCTGAGAAAATATAAATAAAAGAACGTTCAAACGATCGAGAAAAAAACGTGCCACAAAAACATAAATAAACGTGTCACAAAGACAGAGATAAATGTATCAGAAAGATAAAATTATTCTTATTAAAAAAATAACAAAACAAAAAAAAAAAAGAATTGACGGTTGATAACTAAAAAAAATTATACCATCGCTAAACATAATCAAGAAAGAGAAACTTTATCTGATTTATTAAAAAAAGATAAAAACTCAAAGCAAAAAGCAAAAAAAGGGAAAGAGAGGGGCTAGGAGAAGGACGAGCGGCTAGGGTTTTAACGGAACATTCAATTTAAATTTGTATATTAATTAATTGTAGCTGAGTTATTATTATATTATGTAATTATTAGATATGGCCTATTTTTCTAGGTAGGCTAAATTAGGCTATCTAACAAAAAAAACAGGGAAGACAAATTTGATAGGCAATCACAATCTTGTTATGCACGGAAACACGCAAGGTAGAATTCATGTTTTAGGTTTACCAATATTGGTTGTTGTTGGACCCTAAAAGAGATTGTGACCCAAACCATTTGAGTATGTTTATTTATCCCCCCCCCTTCCCCTTAAAATAGTTATAATTTAAAATTCACAATTCAATTTCTAAAATTAAATAATTCGGAGCAATGAAAGATCCCAACCATCAAGGTAAAATGGTTCGCATCTTTAACCGTCAATTCTAAATAATGGTAGCAAAAGCAACATGTAACAAGCTGCTGGTAAAAAGTCATTTTCGGGGCTAACTAACAAAATACAGGTAAAATATCATTCAACTTTGTTCGTTTACTTGATTTTCTTACTAATTTAAACATGCCTTTTAAACCTAACTTGTTCATATTGAACCAGCTTCAATTAATGAGAGTACCCCATATTCATTTTCTATCTATTTTCTCACTGGAGGATTTAGCATATGCTACATTTTCACAATCAATCATTTTCTGTCCACTAATACAGTTAAACCTGCAACTTGAATCCAAGATAAAAAGTTGATGAAATAATTACTGTGTTTGTGGTAGTAAATGAATGATTATTAGTTCTTCTCACACCCATTGAAACAATTATTTAGTCTATGCAAAATAAAAGTTAAAACAATTGATAGTGTGCTCGTAACAGGTGAGAAGCTGGATAGTTTGATTCAAAATAGTTGGGGTGATTATAAGATAATATTTGTTCAGAATCTTTCTTAACGATTGATAACACGAAAGATACAGATACAATTGCTCGAACCCGAGATATCTAAGGTGAACACTCGTTTTTGCTGCTGAAACTATTCGATGGGTTCAAAGAATTAGACTTCAATATGAAATTATAACGTGTCAAATTAAGACAACTAAAATAAGAAGAAAACAAAAACTTGAGTCACATCTAACTGAGTTGACACATAAAATATTCAGACGCTCCCAAAAATTGTAAGAAGAACATGATTTCTAAATCCTAATTATATTCGTACCTTGTCCAGAATGAAGACAAGAAGTAGAAAACCATGAGTCATGTTTGATTTTGAACACACGGAGAAAAAATTGGAGAAATTTCTTAATCCTAAAGTATATAGTATATCTAATGGCATTTCAATCATTATATCATGTTAGATTAGTTCGGAGCGAATATAACTTAAACTTGACTCCGACTTCTCTTTTCATAATATCCGACTTATCTAATCTTAAAATGGTATTTTAAAAGAAAAAAGATTTGATCTTATAAGATTGGATCGAATCGAAATCTATCAACTTTGAATTGTTTTACCGTTCCTGTTTCTATTCACTCATGCTACTTTCTTCAATATGAAAGTTATAAATAATCCTCATGCATTGTATCGGATGACATTACGAAAGTGTCACCAAACGTGCTTTTTGAATTTAGTATTACACTTGAATGCATTGAAAGAGTGTTGTTTTGAAAAATAATTAAAAATAAATGTTATTTCAAAAAAAATATTCGAATAAAAAGATCTTGAGAAGAGGTCTTATTAAATAATTTTAAAATATATATATAAGTTACACTACATGTTTAACCCTTAAGTTATTATTTTTGTTTTGTTTTGATACGTAAATTTTATTGTATTCCAAAATCATACTGAACGTTTATTTTTTATTTCAATTTGATATCCCGCTGTTAAAAAATTAATAGAATTGCTCATGTGACATTTTTTCATTTTTTCTATGATGATGTGACACTACCTTATAGTGACATCACTTTTAAGTTTTTAATGGTGGGATACCAAAATGAAACCTAAAATAAACTTTAGATATAATTTTGCAAACAAATAAAGTTTGAGTACTAAAATGAAATAAAAGTAATAATTTAGGTGATAAACGTGTAGTTCACCCAAAAATATATAACGTCTAAAAACCTAAAAAAACAGACATGTCATCGTCTTAGATACAGTGAAAAAAAAGGTGGGAGTCGTATTGGGGTGGTGGGCAGACGTTGAAAAGCTTTTCCGATGAAAACTATGAAAACTGAGAAAAAAATGGGGAATTTAGCGATTAATCTCAACAACTTTGTAACGTTGACAGGTAGACGCAAACAGCAAGGCGATTTATAAAACCCAACTCCTCCTCTCTCACTCTTTGTGCTCTCCGCCTCTTCTTTCCTCGACTCTATCGAAACCGCTTCCAATGGCTTCTTTTACTGTATTCACCTCCACTCCTCTTTCAACTTCTTTCAAGAACGCCCAGGTTTCCTTTTTCTGCTCTTTTTGTTTTTGTTTTTAAGATGGGTTCTTTTAGAAATGTCGGTCATGTCGTTTTATTTTCGCTTTTTTTTTTTTGGTTTCTGGGTAGTGGCGGAATTTGTGGTGGATTTGGGTTTACTTTTTGAATTCAAGTGTTTTTCGATGGGTTTTGTGATTTGATTTTGAAAAATTAAATTTGAGAAGAATGGAATCTTGTAAATAGCTGAAACATGCCATCTTTGATAGTATTTTTGTTGCATGAATATATTTTAATGGCTTCTTGAGTGTTTCAAGAGTAATGTTTCATCTTTTCTTCTTTGTGTAAGATACCCGAGTATAGACATATTATATATTGAAGATCTTGACTTTTGGTTTTGTTGAGATTGAATTTGAGGTCTATTGAACCATGTTACTCTAATTTGGTAGTAAGTGTTGGATGTAAATATGTAATTAATAATGGTATAACTATTTTTGAATCGTAGAAGGAAATATTGTTCTCCTTAGAAGACCCGGGTTTAGTAGCTACATAGGTTGTGAGCGTGTTGTCAATAGGATTAGAAAAATTTTGAACAGGTATTATCTATATGAGCACCTGAATCAGTTCTTTTTGTTCTGTTCCCATTATATCTATATGATTCGACTTTCTTGAGTTGCTTTCAATATTGCTTTTGAGTTTGGTTTATGCATGTTCTGTTTGAACAGGTACCACTTCGTGGGATCTCTAATGTCAAGTCTGTTAGCTTCCCATCACCTATGATGCGCGGCCGATCATCGCGATTCTGCATTTCCTGTGCGGTACGTTTTTCTTTCTTTATCTGTTTTGTTTTTTGGTTGAATTTGTAGATCTGCATCCGTTGAGTTTATTCATTCAGCTATATAGTTTAGTTCAATGCCAACTGCCAAATAATATGATCATAAGCATGCAATAAAAATAGACTAAACGATCATTCATGGATTTGTAGTCCAACTGTCCCAGCCAGTGTTGATCATACGAACATTTATGAGAACTCTGTAACTGTCTCGTTTGACAGTACTTTGAGTCAAGATTATGATGATGTAGGGATGATTTTTATTTTTTTCTGTCATTTGTGAATTTTGGTGATGTGAACCATTTACATGCACTTCTCCATTCATAATCAACGCGTTTTAACCGGAACTGGAGATGTTAACTTGTTTAGGCCAAACCGGAGACGGTGGACAAAGTTTGTGAAATAGTGAGGAAGCAACTGGCACTTTCTGATGATTCTTCCGTCACAGGAGACTCGAAGTTCTCGGCACTCGGAGCTGATTCTCTGGACACGGTAACAAAATATCTAAACCTGGGAATGGGGAGTGGATCTATTATGTTGGTAGTCAAATAACAGCATTAACATCTAAAACCGCCGTCGGTTTTTCTCCTGGTTCAGGTCGAGATAGTGATGGGACTGGAGGAGGAGTTTGGTATCAGCGTGGAAGAAGAAAGCGCTCAAAATATCAGCACGGTTCAGGACGCCGCCGATCTTATCGAGAAGCTCAAGGAGAAGGAAGCTGCTGCTTAGAATGTTGCAATATTGTTAAAGTTTATTTTGTGGTTATAATGGGAGAAGAATTAAAACTTGAGAAATCTAATATCATGTGATGAAAATCCTTGTCTTATTAAGTTTCATATGGTCTTATGATCTTGTCTTTAGGCATTTGTGTGTTATTGTGTATGTCTTCATAAACCTGAAGAGTGGCTTCTTTTCTGATACAACGAACACAGGCGGTGCCCTTATAAAAACAGACATGATATTAATTATTTGAATTCAAACAGTGGTGTAAGGTGATATACATTATTATTACAATTTTAATATTTATTAGGATTAAAATCCTATATCATATCTATTCTTTATGTCTATAAATATAGGGTTGAGAGAAAGTATTGTATATAACTCATTGAGATAATAATATAGATTTTCTTTTCCTTCTTATTTTCATATCTTTTCTTGTTCTTCCTATCGTTTTCTTCTTTTTTTATTTTATAACGATTAAATTGATATAATATTCAAATATCAAGGATTAATATTTTAGAATTTTGATTAAAATAGAATATAAATATTAAAGATCAATTTTAATAATTACTACATCTCTCTTTATTTCTTAACGAAAAAAAAATTATACATGCTATAATCAAAGGATTTATGTTAAACTAAATGTTTTTTAGATAAAAACAAATAAATGATAGAATTGAAATTTTCATTAGGCTTACTGAACCATTTCCCCTTAGATTATACATGTTTTATTAAATTTGGTAAATTTGATATGAATCTAATTATTCGAACTAATTTATCTGATCTAAGATTTGTTTTGAATCATTCGAACCGATTATTGAACCATTGCCCCTTAAATTATACATGTTTTATTAAATTTGATAAATTTGATCTGAATCTGATTATTTGAACTGATTTATCCGATCTAAGATTTGATAGAATCGAATATGATAATTTAAATTTGATCTTAAACCCGAAACAAACTAAACTGAATCAAAATCGATCCGAATTTTAGTAGGACCAATATGAATTTATACTTAATTTAATCTGAATCGAAAGAAATCCAAAATTAAAATTATATTTTCTTTAATCCTGTTAATAATTGTATATTTTAAATAGATTTGCTTTCTTCCTAAATTAGAGTATTAAAAAAATAAGAGGAAAGCAAGAGAAAATGAAGGATATTTAGCTTAACTTCCCTGCCCTATGAAAAAATTCAAACCAAATTAACAATAGACAGAGAGCCATTTCTTTCGGTTTACTTAGCATTCCTTTCTCTTTCCTCCAATCCAAACACGTGGTCAGTGTCCTATCACATTAAAATAGGGGATGAGCATGGGTCTCGAACCTTACGGTTTCGATCCGACCCGAATCTATTAGGTTAGTTTTTTAAAAAAATAGGGTTTTGATCGGTCATATTTTTTAAATGTGATATTCGGGTCGGGTCGGTTTCGGGTTTATGATGAAAATACTTGACCGACCCGAAAAAAATATAATTTTACTATATATATTTAGGAATAATTACAATAATACCCCTCTATATATTATTTTTTTCAATTAAGTCACTATTTTTATTGATTAAAAATAATATTTTTTATTATTTCGGGTCTGGTCGAGTAGAATTTTTAAGTTATATATCGGGTCGAGATCAGTTCGGGTGAAATCTTGTTTTGATCGGGTCGAATCGGATCTCGGATGGAGGATTCCTTGTTCTCGGGTCAGGTGGACCAAAAATCCGACTCAACCAGACCCATGCCCATCCCTAATTAAAATGCATTCAAATGTATACACAGTTAAGGTAATTTTTTTATTAACTACGTGATTGATCACTTATGTTCGTATTTTGTTCATTTTTTCACTTATTTTAAAAAACATAATATATAATCATTTTTATTTTATAAAGATGTGATCACTACGAGTTAACTGTCGTTAACTAGGTAACGAGATGTTTTGGTATAATCACACATTTCGTCTATGTCATTTATATATTCTCTCAATTAAGTCATACTTTTAATAAATTAAAATAAATTTAATCGTCCTATCGAATGATGTCACATGTCACTTGTAAAATATATATTTTGTTGTTAAAATATTTTGAAATTAAGATAAGAATAAATATATTTAATAATTTAAAGTAGTAATATAATATATTTAGTAAATTAAGATAAAATATATACTTTGAAAAGTTAAAATAATAATAAAATATATTTTTAAAAGTTTAGATAATAATTTATTATATATGTCACACCCTAAAGTAGGCCTAGTTTTTTTTTATAATTTCTGATCGACTTCAATTCTAAAGTTCGACTAGATTAGAGACTAAAATGAAATTTATGGTAATTTTTAATCCAATTTTGTAGATCTTGAAAAATCAGTGGCCAAAGTTGTGATTTGACCTTTTTTATAATTGGGATTTAAATCCCCATAAAGCTGGAACCAATACCCGGCTAGAGAAAAACAAATAAAACCCCCTTTATCTCTCTTCCAACTTTCTTTCTTTCTCTCTCTTCAAGAAATATTCCACCTCCATTTCACCACCGTTCTTTTGTCCGCTGACGACAACGCCCTCTCCATCGCCTTCCTCTCACTGTCCCACGTTCATCGGTACCGGTTGCACCTCATCGTCGTCGGCATGTAGAGGGATGAGGAGAAAAAAGTTTCGGTGAAGCTTTAACGAGTCCTCCATCTTTATCCGTCACCAACCTAAGTTTGAAACTTGTATGATTTTAATTCTGTTTTTAATATATGAATGCTTTTCTGAACTTGAATTTTATTTATAAATTGTTTTATGATTTTGCATGTTTTAACAAAAAAATTAATTTCTCTTGTATTTTTACCGTAGGTCACTCTGGTGGCCCTAATGTGACACCTCGGATCGGGTCACCCGTATCTTTCTGAGGGTGTTAAAATATATTTTTAAATTAAAATAAAAATAATATATTTTAAAATTAAGTTAATAAGAAAATATATTTAATAAGCTAATATAAAAATATTTCTTATTTAAAAGTATGACTAATTTAAGAGTATATATAAATAAAAGGGATCAAATTTGTGATTATACCAAAATATTTAACGACAATTATCTCGTAGTGACTACATCTTAATTAAATGAAAATGAAAATAACCATATATTATGTTTTTTAAAATGAATGAGGAAAAGTGGATAAACACATACATAAGTGATTACTTGTGTAATTAACCCTTTTTTAAGTAAAAATTAATCAGTTACAAATTTTACATGTATGTGATTTATCATTATTAATATTTACGGATACAATTTTTTCAATAAATATTTAGGATGAACTACACTACATAGCACTGAATTTTTAGGCAATGGATCATTTATACCGCTTAATTTTTAATTCTCTAATTATAGCACTAAATTTTAGTTCGGACTTAAGTTATGCAACTAGGTTATTAAATTTTAGGATAAATTACACGGGTGACCACCAAACTATGATCATAAACTATTTTGACCACCAACGTTTGAAACCGATCAAATATACCGTTAATTTAACGGAGGTGATGATGTGTCAGTTAATAAAATTGGCATAATTATATATTTGATCATTAATATTTACATATTTTATCAATTTAGTCACTATTTTAATTCAGACATGCCGCGTGTCACTATATGATTGGAAGGTTAATTTAATTACTTTTCATATTTTTATTAAATAAATTTTCCCACGTGTCACCACCAGTGTAAAGGTAAAACAAATTAAAATGAAGGGAGCTTAAGGGATTCGAACGTCCCTAGGCAAGCCTTTGCCACTAAGACAAGCCACCTTTTTTGTTTTAAAGTGCACAATATTTTGTATATTATGTTTGAGATTATTTCACGCAAGCATATATACACATATTAAATTATTAAAACAAATCTAATAAATAAGTTATATATGTATATATATATTAAATTATAGTTAATGTAAGACTTAAAAATAAAAATGACTTTAATAATTTTTATTTAAATTATTTTTTACAAATATTTTTAAATAACAATATATAAATTATATTAAAAATAAAATTACGTTAAAATTATTTAGAGAATCCAAATCACAAAATAAAAATAAGTTTTAAGTTTTTATTTAAATTATTTTTTACAATTATTTTTAAATAACAATTTATAAATTATACTAAACAATTAAAATTATTTAGAGAATCCAAATCACAAAATAAAAACAATTTAATTTAAAATAAAAATATCAAACTCATTTTTATTTTTAAGTCTTACATTGACTATAATTTATTTATTAGATTTATTTTAATAATTTAATATATATTATATATAAAAGGTTATATGTGTGTATATATGTTTGTGTGAAATAATCTACACAATATATAAAAGATTGTGCACTTTAGTACCAAAAAAGATGGCTTAGCTTAGTGGTAGAGGCTTTCCCAGATTTCTTAAGGTTCCTAGATCAAGTCTCCCTAACTCTCTTTATTTCAATTTGTTTTCCCTTGATTGGTGGGAAATTTTATTTAATAAAAATATTAAAACATAATTAAATTAACCTTTCAATCATATAGCACGTCCGGATTAGATGGTTAAATTTATTTAATTGTTAAAATCAATTAAAACAATGATTAAATTGATAAAATGTTTAAATATTAAAGACTAAATATATAATTATACTAATTTTATTAATTACCACATCATCACCTCCGTTAAAACTTAACAACCAATAGATTACTTTCAAACGTTGGTGGTCCCTAAATTTTAACAACAAATGACATAGAAGGATTTTTTCGTCATTGTGACGACGTGGACTAAATTACATCATTTTGACATGACTATTGATGCCAAAAACAATGTTGTTTTAGGTATTGAACTTTATGAGTGTATTGATTTTGCCACTAAACTTTAAAAAAGTTCAATTTTATAAACTAATTTTTTTCTACCGCTATTGGCGGCTAATCGTCGTCCATCATTGGTAATCTTTCGCAACAAGATTAATATCAAAATGTTCACATATAAATCATCTTTTTTCTCTTATGATTGATTTTCCACGAAATCCACTCAAAATTAACGAAAAATCTATTTAAAGGTTTGACGTGTTAATATTCTGATCTCTTTTGATGGTCATTCGATTAAGTAATTTTGAGGTACGTAATCCTTCTTCTCAAA